AACATCTTAAAAAAAAGGTCCATGAGTTGGTACACTATGAGTCAACAACAGCCCAAGCTATTGGGAACATTTGATTGTTCTCATCCCTTGTAACAATTGCCAAAAGGGTTCCTTTGAAGATCCCCTTGAGGAAATAGTCATCTAGTCCAATCACTAGTCTACAACCCAATAGAAAACCTTTCCTACATCCTTCTAAGCACACATAAATTCCTTTAAATGCAGGTTTTCTCTCTGGAGTTGTGGGTGGCTCAGTGACAATCTTAACAATCGACTCAAGGGACAATCTCAACAACTCTTCTGTGTACCTTCTTAATTGAGCAAATTCATTCATGTGAGTTTCCTTCACTTCCTTCATAATCTTATCCTTTGCTAGTTTACAGTTATCCCTTGAAACATGAACTCCTAATTCTAAATGAGAAAGTCTCACTAACTCACTAATTATAATCTGCGAGTTTGCAAAAATTCTATTCCTATGGTGTTCTACTAGTACCCTTGACCCAACCATGTCAGACTTCAAACTCATAAAGCAAGTGTGTTCCCTGCAATATGTCTTCTATTCTAAAAGTTCGATCATTTTTATCAAAATTGACAAAGATTTGTCAATTGCACTGTCGATCAACATAGTGAATTCTTTGCCTGGTGGGGTCACTTTTAATAAGTTTCAACCTAAAACTTTTTTGAATTTGGTAATTAGCTATAGCCTCCTTAAATTGTGCCACATGCTCAAACTTCATCCCTACCTCAAACCAAACATCAGCCCATGAAGTATAAAACCATAAATCACCACTTCTAGTAGTTCTTACATCTCCTTCTTCTTCTTCAAGTTCATCTTCATCCATAACAGTGTAGTCACTTGAATCATCACTAGAAACCTCAAATTCATCTTCACTATTTTCAAAGCTAGAATCAAAACCCAAATCTCCATGGCTATCAATTCCTACAGGAACCCTTTCACCCTCTTCATTAACCATGGTATGGGTCTCATGGATTATGCCACTTGGTCCAGCACCATTTGCATTTTTTTTTTTTTGTACTGGTTTTATGTTTCTTTTTATTTCTAATACATTCAAGCACCTCCTCATCATCTGCATCACTATGCACATTATCAAGAAAGTCGTCATCATCATGATCATTATGCTTTGGATCTTGTTGTTGGCCTACATCACCTCCATGCACTGCATCTATTTCATCAACATCACCTTCAGTTGTTTCTGGAGCTCCATTACAAGTTGGGGTTGGTTGTGAATTTTGTGTCACACAACCTTCCCCAATGTCCTCATCACTTCCAGAAAAATGCATTGTACCTTCATCAACTACTTCATGTGGAACGGTGCCACCTTCAAGCAAGTCTAAAATGTTTGGCTCATCACACACATGCTCAACGTACACATCTATAATTCCCCTTTCATTTAAAAGATACCGCATGTGAATAAGCTCCTGCATACTATTTATAACCTTTAATGCTTCACCAAAATTTTCAACATAAGGGTCTTTGTAATAAATGTCCTTAAAATGCATATATCCAAGGTCTTTTACCCTCTCCTCTAAATACGACAAAATTATACGATGATATTCAATATCCTCATCATGTACTTCACCTCCAGTGTACCTAAGATCCCCATTATGACTCATGCAAAAAGTGCCACCATGGTGAATTCTTAATGTCCCCATTACTGTCATATGGGAAGAAAAAGATATAAATTAATATAAATTAATACACATTTAAGCATTAAATCTATAAATCAAGTTACTAATTACAAATTTATAGATTTAGAAATAACTAATTTACAATAATAGCATAAACACTAATACTAAAAACTCTAACTATACTTGTACAATAATGGTTGAAATTGAATTCAACAGTAACAGAAAGAGCAAAAGAAAACAAAAAAAAGGATAAATTTTTAGTTTAATTACTCAGTAAATTTCATGAACCCTAAAACTAACCTTAATCATCAAACACAACTTAAATTTATTTTAATTCTTAAATAAACCCTAAACCCTAATTAAATATCACTTTCAACACAAATCTATAACCCCCATCGTTAATTCCACTAAAAGTTAAACAAGATTTTGCTAGAATAAAGGAAAAATACCTGTCAATGGCACCAATAACAGTGTCAAAATCATCTATGCTTTGAGGTCCCTTTCGAATGTTCTATTCCTTCAATCTAGATTCCTTCAGTTGGTGGGGGCAAGTGAAGTTGTTTCCTTATGTGGTCCTTTTTTAGGTTGTGGGGTTAATCACGTAGCTTTTCTTTGTTCTTGATCAAAATGCTTGGAGTTGGACGGTTTGTTTGCATTCTTTGTCTACTTTTTTTTTTTTTGTCAAACCTTTAGTCAGTGAATGGGGCCCACAACAACAGTAGTATTCCCCGCTCATGAGTGGTCCAAGTTGGACTTGCCAACTTGTCAAAAAAATCTGAGTTGGCACTGACATGGCATATATGACGAAGGCCAACAGTGCACATGCTGCACGTGGTCCTCCGACATTAAATTTTGCTTCATTTCCTTAAACTTGAAAATATGGAGGGCAAAAATCCATGTATTTGAATATTAGGGGTAAAATGCCTCAAATTCGATAAGTTGAAGGGCAAACGGGGGGTTTTTGCCTACTACATTTCACTCAAAAAAAAAAAAAAAGAGGTACATGCAAACATGAACCTATTGTTTTTAGTAAAAAAAATTCAATTATTTATAAATAAAATCTCAACTTCAAATCTTATAAATAAAAAAATAAGTGTTAAGATAGTTTTTTTTTATGAGGTTCAACATAGTTTGATTATAAATTAATTATGATTTGATATGACATCCGAATAACAAAAGGTTAGTAAAAAAAAAAAAAAGGAGGTACATCTTCCATCCAGTATTCGTCTTGCTGGATGTTCTACGTATGCCTAGCTAATTCAGGAAAAAAATTTACTGTTCAGTTAACCATTTACTAGTGAAGTTTCTCACAAACTCACTTACCTCTCCAAAAGAATTAAACTCTAATACAAAAAGAATACAACCCCATTTGTGAAAGACAAAAATCCAAAATCTCTCTCAATATAATGTTATGAGGGTCAAATCCCCTATTAAAACTGTAATGATGATGGTGTCCAAACTCCATGAAAAATAAAGTTGGAACCATCATGTGAAGAATTGACTGTTGGGTATTTGAACTCAAATTTGAATTTGTGCAGAATGTCCTTCACTTTGACATAAAATTTCATGAAATATAATGATTTATAGTTTGATGATGATAATCAAAATTATAAGGAGAAACCTAGCACATTAGGAAATTAAAAATGATGACACTAAGATCATGGGATCAATTGGGATCATGGGCCATGGCAATCGATTTCGGTGAGGGCTCCATGTAATGCAAACTGCAAAGAGTTATAGGAATAGCAAAATAGGAAATTTTTTTGTTTAAAGGAATGGCAACACAACATATCATCATTTCTTTTATGGTGAAATTTTCACCATTTCATTTCATTTATTCTTGTTCTTGTGAATACAAAAAAACAAAGAAAGAAAATTTTCATGAGTTAATTTTGTGGATGTCAATCATGCAACAGTTACAAGAGGCAGGATAGTGGGTAACTTGTACTGATTAATGATGATGCAGCAAAACATGAACATCATTTCCAGCAAGCAGCAGCTCTCCAATCAAGATTTGCTATTTTGGAACTTATGTTACCAATAATAACAACATCTCTGGATCGGACATGCATTTCCTGTTGTATTCCATTGATTTAGTTTGGGGCTTACTTGAAGAAGAAAATTGGAAGTACGTGAACAGACTCAACTTGAAAAATAAAAACACAAGAAACCCAAAAACTTAATCTATATGAGTACCACCAAACAGCTCAGAAATTTGATTTCTAAATATTTTGATAACTAGCTTAACCTTATTATCAAGGGAGATGTTTAACGGAAAAAAGAGGAGACAAAACCTGAAGGTGGGAAGCCACCAGCTAAGTGACTAGATACTTATCTTCTAGACTGGTTCAAGTGGCATAAATAAAGAGCATACTAGATATATACATTTCACTAATGCATCCACTAGGGTAGAAGCACAAAACTAGATGCTGATTCAGGATACTCAGACACCAGAGGTTCCATCAGCGTCTTGGCCATAAACATCCAAATTGGGTTCAGCTGAAAGTGATGCAAGGCCACCCATGCGCCTTGAGGCTGATGGTGTCCGAGGGGAATGGGGAGTTCATGGAGATAGGTTGACAAACTCTAGTGCCTGTTGTCTGAGTTCTAGGGGGTAGTCTGCAACACATCCAATCCTTGGGCCAGCTCCACTTGTCCACTTGCTTGAGAGCTGATGTCCTAATTGGAATGATTTTGCTGCCTCCTTAGAGTTAATCCTCTTTAATATAGAAGTTTTGGGCACCTCAGCCCTTGGGCTCTTAAGACCTCCAGATAGAGTCCTTTTGTAAGTAGTCCTGGTCCCTGTTTGGTCATTTTCGAGTGACTCTGGGGGTGCAGTCTTCTCTTCAGCTGGAATTTCAAGTTCATGAAGATCTGAGTTTGTAAAAATTTCCGATAAAATTCCAAGTCCATTGGATTTGCCACCACAGCAGCTATTAGAATCATCCGTTGTTTTGCATATCTGAATCTCAAGAGACGCAAATATCAGTATTGAAATTCCAAGTCCATTGGATTTTTACATTCCAAACTATAAAATAGTGTTCTTAAAAGAGTATGAGATCTTGCAATTTTTATAATGGTTCTGATGTAGATCCAAGAGAAAAGAGAATCAAAGATGAGAAAAGACTCGCAAATTAACAAAAATAGGAAACTAGGCCTAGTGTAATTTCCCTAGGCATAGAATTACATTTCACAAATTAATCCCTAAAAAATATTAGTAATTATAACAAAAAAAAAAAACTGGATAATATAACCAATTCTCTTTTGACTGCATCAGGTTCACAATAATTGTCTTTCTAGGATTTGCAATACTTGTATACCAAAATCAAAATTTGCTTGGTGAACCAAATAAACATAAAGTATTTTGAATTCACAAATTCTCGAGAGAGCATTATGAGATGGATTGGGAGATTACCTTAACTTCATTTATGTTCACCCCTTTCTCCTTGAGGAAGGATAGGAAATTGTCAAGGCTGTCAGGCTTGTAATGTCCACTATGTGCAGAAATAGACTGAAATATTCAGAGAAGAAAATGGAGACTCAAATGCCATGCAGTAGATTAGCATTTAGAAAGAATCAACAGTGGAGGTGATGCAATAATAAGAATAAGAGTCTCTATCAATAGCTATCCTTAATTCCTATAAACCATACTTTAACAATTCCCTGCTCTACTTCTAGCCTTCCTGCAGCTAATGTAGCTCCCCCAGCCAAGAAGCTGGAGTGATGAAACAACCCTTTCTTCTTCTGCAAGGAGTTAAACATGTATTAGTTTCTCTGATATGCTATAGGAATCAGCCAAATCGTTGCCTACTATTTGTTCGAACTTCAAATTCTTACCTCAGCGACATAGAGTTGCTTAGAGGTGCTCATAACAAACATCCATTTTCCTTCTTTAGATACATTGATTGTATCAAGGAGTTCTTTAGTTTGTTTATGTTTAATCTGTCCTTCATCAACAATGTATTCATAATGTTCCCTCTCTTGCTGATTTCCCACGCAGAAAAAAGAGAACAAAATAGAACTTATATCAGGACAATAAGAATTAGCACCAATAGATAATAGTACATCACATAAGAAAATATTTGAAGTGTATCATTAGTATGTCACAAGGAAGCACATACCGGGCCAAGATACTTGATGCATTGTTGTCGAAGCTTTGATCTTGGGCATTCTTCGAGATCAATCTCTTTTCCAGCACCTAGATCCAACCTGCAGGGAATGCAAATTAAAACATCAGCCATATATTAACTGCTGTAACACCCATTAGTGCAGGTTCTCTTTTTCAAAAGGGGAGAGAGAGCAGCCTTACAGCGGCAAAATAAGATGAAGACTAAAGAGTCTGATAATTATGTATTTTTGTTCTCAATTTTGTTTCTCATGGCAGTATATCAATACTCAGCAGTCATTTTCTGGTTATTTAAACTTTTTTACCTCGACTCTGTTACCTTTATGCAATTAACATTAATTCAGCTTTAACCTTTTCCAACACTCCAAAAACCAGAGCATCAGAACTTAGAAATGATGCTTACCAGAAGAAAAAGGGCTGCCCAGCATCATTTTTATACCATTCAAGGAAGTAAGTATGCAAGTTATGGCCATAGCGATGCCGTGCATCAATCTAGAAATCATTATTACAGTAAACAAAGGTGCAGAATCAATAAAGAATAAATATTAACAATCTAAACTTGTAAGGGAAAAATTTAGTCCCAAGAAGAGAGTCATTACAGCTTCAATCCAATGCTGAAAAGCCAATTGTTGTGCCTTAGCGTCTCTGCCCAAGCCCTTTCCCACCTGCCAAAAGTATCCAAAATTTCAACAAATCATCACCTTACTAAACGAATAATCTTTTCTATTTTGGTATATGGCTATTGGTTTAATTTAACAAATCATCTAGTAATTATTACTTATTTTTTATTTTAGTCTAATATTTTTTTTTTAATTCATCTATTAACTTTCAAAATTGTTTCATTTTCATCTATCCCACATAACTCCATTATTATTTGAATTTGTCTAATTTATATTTTAAAAGTACACGTTAAAAATATACTAAATATATTTTTTATTATAAATTTATATTAAAAAAATAAAAATTAATATTTAATTTATCAATTGTCCAATTAAATTTATTCACTTATCATTGACATTTTATATACATTTATAACAAAAAATATTCTTATCATGTACCCTAAGAGTACATTAGAAAAACACTTATTATTTTCTAGTAACAAATTTTGTTTTTAATTAAAGGAAAATGGTGACTAAAAAAATTTAAAGAAAAACAATGAGGTGGGAAATTTTTCTTGCCACCTAACTGCTTACACGACGATATGTGATAGCAAAATTGGAATTTTGTTAATAAAATTAATCGAGTTACGTGGAATAGATGAAACTAAAATAATTTTAAAAATTAATAGATAAATTTTAAAAAATAAAAATACTAAACTAAAATTAAAAATAATAATAATTAATAAATAATTTGTTAAGTTAAACCTATGACTATCTAGTAGTGGCATCACTGGGTACTTTGGAATCAAATCCTCGCCAGTGTAAACCCGTTGTCAACTAAGCGACAACGTTTCGATCAAAATTAACATAAAAAATCATCATATAATTTGTCCTATAAAAATTTGTTTTATAATTTTGACAACGTTTCGATCAAAATTAATATAAAAAATCATCATATAATTTCTCCTATAAATATTTGTTTTATAATTTAAACCGTAAATATATTTATTTATTTATTTAATAAAAAACCCACTATATCAAATATCCAATTCCTCTTAAATAATTAATATTTTATAATTTTAAATCAATTCAAACTAATAAAATATATTTTTATCTGCATTGAACAAGAAAGCTCTATGTTTTTGCCCAAAACAACGAAACTCCGTACCTTGGAAGCGTTCAAGGTAATCCGATACCACCTAGAAGCCGCTGTTTCAGGTTTCGAAAAATTAAAGAAGGAAATTGTACTGCGATTCAGTCTGGCAAATTCTATGGCCCGCCACCTTCAATAAAACAAAAACCACAACCTTTTCAGAAAATTGTCTGGAAAAGAAACAGAAACTAAAATATTTTCTCTAAATTACAAATTACCGAATTATATATTACCGGGGATAACCTCAGTGAATTGGTATTTATTATAATTAAACAATAATCAATTAGATCAAAATTTAAGACAAAATTTAAAATAATAATATGATATAAATTATATTATTTAAAATATTAAAAAATAAATTTTATATTATTTAA